GGCTAGGAAAAGAGATGTCTTGCCTTGCACCAAGGATGCTTAAGAAAGTTAACACACAAAAAGCGACATTATTTCTTAAAAATTAATGGATACAGGGAAGACAACAAAATATCATTTTGATGTCGTCGTAAAATAATGTCTCCAGATGTTTCAGAAAGAAAGAAGAAACGGCGATTAACAGTAGATGATTACTATATTGCATTGTTGTAATATATAGACGTTTAGCACTAAGTATTAGAATGTAGCGGTATACTCCTCTAGACCTCTTTTGGTCTAGAGGATATACATTTGCATTTAGCTGGGCAGGAATATGCAATAAAGATTCATTAAATAGAACTGCAAATATATATATTCTTTCTTCGACTTTCTCGCTCCGAAGTTCAGGTTCAGAAGCAAGTGAACATGGAGTATATGGTAAAATTCCTCACCCCATTTCATGGAACCAGTTGGAAACTTTTTTTCTATTTCTTAGATGCTTCTGCACCGCTAATCTTTTACAATCAACAACGCCCCTTCCTTCTAAGCCATGTCTTAGTTTTCAACACTTTTCATTAGCTAATTTATAGGACATGTCTGTTGATTTTACAATCGGCAGCTGGTTAGGCGTTCTTCTCCTTAACTTATCATTTGTGATGTCATCAGCTTAGCGGAAAGAAAAATCATAATCTACAATCTGGCGATCTTGTAGATTCTTTAAGTTCACCAAAAATTAGTACAGCTACAAGCTACAGGACTAGACTCTCTCAGAATGTATGAAGGTGCAAAAAAATACTTCTTGGGGTGCGTGTGATTGTTTTTACACCTGAAGGTGTCTTAAAACTCTCCCGTCGGAAATAGATATAACAAACACATAAGACTGTGTTATATGTATTTATAGCCGTTCTTACTTTTGTTGAAATTCATTTCAACACAGCCATAACAATGCCCAAAGCGGCAATTTATCATCTCTTCATAGTTTTCGTTTAAGAATCCCATTCGCACGATTTTATCCTGGTATCAAAAATTGCAAATGTTTAAAAGTTGACGTTGTTTGAACTCTATGTTGATATTCGCTGTGCTCGAATGCGCTACGTCTAACATAGAAACAACGCATCGTTAAACTCGTACCAGTGTGGGTAGTATATATAAAGAGGTTTCTAATTTGAGGGATTAGCTGCTGACGGGATGGTTATAAAGAAATATGAGGGAGTTTGTACACTTAATGTTGCGCCACCTGGCGGGATGAACGTGTGACAAATGGTTTATCTTTCGCTGATTAATGATGATCAATGAAAGAGACGGAATTATTCTATAATATCGCAGTGTTTTGTGAAGTAGATTTATGCCATAGTGTCATCATGAGCCCCCTTCTGGGATTAGTGAATAAAATAATACATCATAGATGAAAGTTGGAATGATAGTTACAGGAGGCGCAACGTTTAACCCTAAACAGTACACCTGGGGTCCGCGCGGACCCCAGCACTATATATTCTGTAATATCTTTTTTGTTTCTAAAGATTTTTTTCTGAAATTTTAGGTAATTGTCACCCACAAAGTTGTCTCTCAATACAGTGCAAAAAACTCCGTTTCTACCATTTATAAAAAAAATTATATCTGATTTTCTTTTGGGGTCCGCGCGGACCCCAGAAGCTTTCGATCATAATGGATACACTGGCGTTCTTATACATTACCTTATTTCCGTTTTTATATGTTTTTATGAACTCCTCGTATGTCTACCAAGTTTTCAGAGAATGGTGTAGTAATAGAATTAAATTTTAATAACTTTGGTGTAATTATGACGTCATGTGACGTCAGAGCTAATAATATAGTCCGCCATATTGGATTTTGACCAATGACGTCATCAAATTAGCATATTCTATGCATATTAAATGATTTTACTTATATTTAATTATGTAAGATGCTATTAATGTTGGAAAAGAAGTGTAATTTAATATAAAACTCAGAAAATTTTTATGTTTAAACCAAAATTACTTCTATTTTAAAAAAAACTGCCTGCTAGAAACCCGTTGCCATGGCAACACAAAAAAACATCAACTTACTAGTATTAAACTAATATGAACTTTTTTCCAGAGACATTTTAGGAAAGGTCTCCAAATTTGATACTTCTAGCGCAAGCCGTTTAGCCGCTATCTGAGATCAAAGTTGGGCCTCAAAAGCCCCTTCAGTCTGAAATGGGTTAAAAAATCGGGTATTTCTTCTTGTCTTCTTTTCTTCACCAAAAAATAGAAAAAGTTCAAAATGTATGATTTTTGTATGTAATGTGGACACAGAGGTTCCCACTTCAGTTTGCAAAACAATTGAGCTGGTAGCATGTTGATAATTTCTAAAAATTAGCAAAAAACTGTTCTGGGGTCCGCGCGGACCCCAGGTGTACAGATTAATCAGTCTAGGAAGGTGTACTGTTGAGGGTTAATGGCGTATATATGCGTACTAGTACTGGTGAGGCAGTTGGTTTGAGGTGCAAGAGAAGCGCATGCAAAAAGCAAAAATATCAAGTATAACGGTAATTATACTTAAGAACAAATTAAAGCAATCACAGGGAGATAGAATACCGTGTGTTCTTACCAATTCCATATTGTGTGGCCCTGATCACACTTATCATATATACACTGCGTACTTGATGAGTGTTGGGGTACTACAAAAGACAACTGGACTGAGAACGTTCGACACTTAA